TCATTACTAAAGATAGACGAGTGACCGGCCCACGATCCGTTCATATCGTTCAATTATTCATTTTATTCATTGCAAGCCATTAAATGCCATGGTTACATACCGTCACAGTGTACAGCATTTTTAAGTAGTATTTTGACATAATTTTATTAGGCACTGTGAATGCGTGTGCATGTAAATCTACTTAATAGGCTATTTATTTTGATCGTGATTTAAGAATCGGCCATTACCACAGTCAATTTTTTATAGCAGAATTTTATTTAAACTATAAATTCGAGAAAACCATAGTAGCGAAACACTACAAAACTGAAAAAAAACTACACATTGTTAACAACGGGTATATATTTTTATTAAGATTCGTAAAAACATAATTAATTATAGAAAAATATTAGATCCAAAAACCGCTGTCGACCCGATAGAGAGAAAACGCAGACAACTACGAGAAGACAAATTTCTATTTCAAATTGGAATTTAAATTTCAATTCCGGTTGACGGTGTAGATCACTCAAACAGTATAATACATTCAACGTCTACGGGCTGGTAGTATTAAACACCTATGATAAAACAAAATATAATTATATTATACCAATAAATCATCAGAAATTAAATCGATAAGAATGAAACGTATTCGACATACTGTGCTATTAGCACATGTTTTCACGAAGCGGCAGAGTGTACGTCAATTTGTCCTCTACTCTTTGATTATTGATAAAAGCGTAGCTTTTATCGATATTGTCTTCAAGTCTTCAAACGTCGTACTAATCGGTTTATTCTTGGCCAGGGTCATCATCCCGTACCAACTTCCCAAATTGTTCAACGTTTTTCTACAAATCGTTTCCTCGTCCCGACTCAATAACGCCTAACGAGATACGCGAGATATTATTTTAATATATATCGTATTCATGATCACTAGGAAACGGATTTATACACACTTAAAATTTACAAAAAAAGCGCTTAAAAACTTAAAAAAAAAGTCCTAGAAAACCGCTTATAAAAATTTTGAAAAAGAGATAATGGTAGACAGATTTTAAAGTTCTCTTATCCAATGGCTCTCACTTAACAATTGTTTTCTTACACTACAAAAACGATTAGAATAAAACGATGTTTAATAAATAAATTTGTAAGTTTTACAAAAACAAAAATACTTCTTGTTAACCATTTGTCAGCGTTAGACAAATTTATTTAATGTGTTAGAATCGTTATTGTAGGGAACTTTTAAAACCACTCTACCACTTTTGCTTTTTTAAAATATTTTTTTTACGGATTTTAATTATATATAGAATCTGTTCATTATATTAAAAATAAAAATAAAAAAAATATTCCTACTTACTTTAATAATTTTTTCTGTTTCCAGAATTATTAACTCGTTGAGTCTATCGTTGTTTAACGAGTTCAAAAAATGTAAGTATACCGTATGGTGGTGGTTTAATTCTATATTAATGCGATTTGTAACAATATACCACGCTAACCACGGTAGGCATTTTTCCTTTGTTTCGACGATTATATTTTTTACTTCATTACACTATATACGATATAAAATAAAATAAAAAAATTATTAACACATATTATTACACCGTGTACAGCGTATTTGACTAAAATTATTAGTACTCATTTTAATTCGTGTAATTAAATAACAATATAATAATATTAACCTTAGTTTGTAGATTATGTTCATTCATCACATTCAAAATAAAATTTATTGCTTCTTTGCAATGTTTTACAGATCCGAACGTTGCAACTGTGTTGGTCTGTTTAGAACTCGACACGTTGATAACTAATAAATATAAAGTAAAAGGTATAAAAAGGGTATTTCATTTATTCGTAAATTATATTTCTGCTGATATTTTGACCGAATACTATTTTAACTTTAATGTCCGTATAAAAACGGTCGTGTTCGGACCGTGTTATAGATCGTTCGTTATTGTCGGTCGTGTTATAGATTAACGAAAAAGATCTATCTTTAAGTTAGTACGATGTAAGTTAATGGTACGAAATAATTATCGAATTTAAAGATACCGGAAAAACTTGAACAGTTTCTGTAACTCCCCTAAATTATTATTATATTCGAGATAATACGCTTTTGAATATCCGATAAACTATAATAGGTATAAATACTGTTCTTGTCGGGAAAAATTTTAGATAGTCATTATTTTTATGACGAAGAAAACTCCAAAAACATACACAATTTTTTCATTAACATAGGATTATTAAAACTACTTAAAAAAAAAAAACATGTCTCATTAACTTCCCCTGTTGTGAATCACAATAATAATGTATCTCCATAGTCTTAAAAATAATATTTTGTAATTAATAGACGCTAATAACCTCAATAGTTGAAGATGAGCGGTATGCAGATAGTATTTTAATCGGTTCGAAGTTAGTGTAAACAAATAATTAACTTTATAATATAGACGTTTCAGTTTAATAATAATTGCTGTACTCACTTGGCGGACCACTGTGAATGGGAGATTTTGTATTGGCCGACGGTATGACGCGTTGCGTAGTATTGACGGTCTGGCTCGGACCGACAGTAGCATCCGGAGACGATATTTCAGTCAAAATGAGAGACGCTACTTCGGAAATGAATTATTAACTTTATAATGCACAGGATTCCGATTTTGAAAATTTAGTATTTTAAAATAATTATAGCTATACTCACTTGACGAATTGCTAATGGGTTGCGTTTGGGCCACCGGTAAGATGCGTTGTGTCGTACTGACGGTCTGGCTCGGACCGACAGTAGCATCCGGAACCGATATTTCAGTCAAAGTGAGAGACGCTACTTCGGAAATGTATAATTAACTTTATAATGCACAGGATTTCGATGTTGATAATTTAGTATTTTAAAATAATTATAGCTATACTCACTTGACGAATTGCCTATGGGTTGTGTTTTGGCCGGCGGTAAGATGCGTTGCGTAGTTCTGACGGTTTGGCTTTGACCGACAGTAGCATCCTGATACGATTTTCCTGTCAGGGTAGCAGATTCTACATCGGAAATGTATAATTAACTTTATAATGCACAGGATTTCGATGTTGATAATTTAGTATTTTAAAATAATTATAGCTATACTCACTTGACGAATTGCCTATGGGTTGTGTTTTGGCCGGCGGTAAGATGCGTTGCGTAGTTCTGACGGTTTGGCTTTGACCGACAGTAGCATCCTGATACGATTTTCCTGTCAGGGTAGCAGATTCTACATCGGAAATGTATAATTAACTTTATAACGCACATGATTTCGATGTTGAACATTTAGTTTTTTAAAATAATTATAGCTATACTTACTTGACGAATTGCTAATGGGTTGTGTTTTGGCCGGCGGTAAGATGCGTTGCGTAGTACTGACGGTCTGGCTTTGACCGACAGTAGCATCCGTATACGATTTTCCTGTCAGGGTAGCAGATTCTACATCGGAAATGTATAATTTACTTTAAAATGCAAGGGATTCCGATGTTGAACATTTAGTTTTTAAAACAATTATAGCTATACTTACTTGACGAATTACTAATGGGTTGCGTTTGGGCCACCGGTAAGATGCGTTGTGTCGTACTGACGGTCTGGCTCGGACCGACAGTAGCATCCGGAAACGATTTTCCTGTCAGGGTAGCAGATTCTACATCGGAAATGTATAATTAACTTTATAACGCACATGATTTCGATGTTGAACATTTAGTTTTTTAAAATAATTATAGCTATACTTACTTGACGAATTGCTAATGGGTTGTGTTTTGGCCGGCGGTAAGATGCGTTGCGTAGTTCTGACGGTCTGGCTTTGACCGACNACAGAAGCATCCGGAAACGATATTTCAGTCAAAGTGAGAGACGCTACTTCGGAAATGTATAATTAACTTTATAATGCACAGGATTTCGATGTTGATAATTTAGTATTTTAAAATAATTATAGCTATACTCACTTGACGAATTGCTAATGGGTTGCGTTTGGGCCACCGGTAAGATGCGTTGTGTCGTACTGACGGTCTGGCTCGGACCGACAGTAGCATCCGGAAACGATATTTCAGTCAAAGTGAGAGACGCTACTTCGGAAATGTATAATTAACATTATAATGCACAGGATTTCGATGTTGAATATTTAGTATTTTAAAATAATTATAGCTATACTCACTTGTCGAATGGATAATATATTGTGTTTTGGCCTGCAGTAAAATGCGTTGCGTAGTACCAACGCTCTGGTTTGGACCGACACAAGCATCCGGAAACGATATTTCAGTCAAAGTGAGAGACGCTACTTCGGAAATGTATAATTAACTTTATAATGCACAGGATTTCGATGTTGATAATTTAGTATTTTAAAATAATTATAGCTATACTCACTTGACGAATTGCCTATGGGTTGTGTTTTGGCCGGCGGTAAGATGCGTTGCGTAGTTCTGACGGTTTGGCTTTGACCGACAGTAGCATCCGTATACGATTTTCCTGTCAGGGTAGCAGATTCTACATCGGAAATGTATAACTTACTTTAAAATGCACATGATTCCGATGTTGAACATTTAGTTTTTAAAATAATTATAGCTATACTTACTTGACGAATTGGTAATAGGTTGTGTTTTGGCCGGCGGTAGGATGTGTTGCGTAGTACTGACAGTCTGGCTCGGACCGACAGTAGCATCCGGAAATAAAGTTTTAGGGAAGGTAGCAATCACTACTTCGGACGTATTATGAATATTTATTTCTGGTTCCACAATTTGTATAAATGCTCTGTAAATAATGTTACGATTTTCTGTTAACAGTATACGAATGTATAAAGCACTAACAATATCAAAAATAATATAATACTATGATTATATCTATCTTTACATTCCCCGTTAAATAAACGACATAAGAATTTAAGAAAAAAAGCCCCGTACAAATTGATTGGTACCTATGTATGGTTTTGGAAATGACCCTGCAGGACAAACAAAGGTATTTTCTTTTTTATACATGTACGCGTCATATACTCTGTATTGCAGTACAATGGAACTTTAAATGATTACAATTTTGTTTTGTTATAGGATTTAATAAAAAAAGTTTTCTTTTTTTTAAATTACAAAGCTTTTTACATATAACCAATAGAAATTCGCAAACAAACAATTTTTATATTTAAAAACAAAATTCGCGTTTAAGCACTAGTTTTACCATATAAGAATTGAATTTTCATTGGACTGTACGGATGACGAATCGTAGCGTGTTATCATTGTTGTTCACGAAATTATATCACATATGAATGAAAATGTGTGTACACGATGAACAAAAAAACGTCTTATACGAACTGATTAAATTTCACGAAGTCTATAGAGTGGATTGTATTTTCATTTGTACAATGCATTTATAATAATCGTTTTAAAGTCCCGGAAGAAAATTTGGGGAATTAATTTTGTACGGCTGTTTTAATTTAAAAAAAATAAAAATTGAACGTACTTTATAAACATGATGACAAATTGTACCAGTTCTTCCGCGCTTAGTAAAATCATTATGATTAATGACAGGAACCACAGAACAATTTTTGCGGTACTGCAAACCAAAGATACCGTAGCAGACTCCATTTTTATTGTACTATTATAATACAGGAACAAAGTATTGAAAATATTCGAAACAAATAAATTGTTGAATATTTCAATTTAGTAATAGAGTTATATAAAGTTATATAAAGAGAATAATAAACTCTATTTTAATATAGACGAGACAAAAGTCTTTAAATCAATTGATGAAGTTTAATATACTCTAATCACTTTAAATTAAATGATGAAATAAGAACGGAAACAAAAATCAATCAATCTGTTAGCAAATATACAAGAGTTGAAAAAAAAAAACTGTTGTCAAGTGATAAATAAACTGAAACGTAATATATGTTGACGTAGTGTGTATTTTCCCAGAGTGCATTATTCTTACTGCCAATATATTATAACAGTATAATAATATAATATACGCTTTGTGAACCTGTATTAAGAGGGAAGGGCAGGGAACGGTTGTGTTGAATTTTGAGGTGGCTGCTAATTTTTTTTTTAATAATTTGTGGATTTTAATTTAAACATTTCAAATTTTTTTTTTACGATAATTATATAATTAGGAATTTAATTTTTGGTACTATAGGTATGTTAATATACAGGAGGTCCATTACAATAGTGGCACTTAGTGGTAAAATAAAAAAAAAGGAGAGCGTTACCGTACTTATTAATTTTTTTTTTTTCATAAGACCTTAAACTTATTATTTTCATATCTGATTCTGATGAAAATCGTAAATTTTTACGATCCTTCAATATAAGGTATATACGCTTAGAATCGTTTTTCGTAGCATCATCCTTTTTTTTTTTTTTTGCTCTGAGGCATTCTTAAATATGTATTGTAATTGTAATGTATTAAAATTGTATTGTTTATATATAATATTATTGTCGGACGCGGTCCGATTAGATTCAATTAACGGAGACCGCGGGAGCGCTCGCGCGAGCGGGTTAACCGCGCCGCGTCTTCCATACCGCGCTCATACCCGCCGATTACGGTCACGGACGTTTTACACCTCGCGGTCGTTGTTTACAATAATATTCGATCGTGCGTTATAATATTATTATTATAATACTCGTGCCGGTGTATATTATAACACTGTACACAATAATAGTATATGCTATAATAATATACGGCGCGCGTACAGGTACCCGGGTAGACAGGTAGACGGGTATACATATAGGTACTAAATAATATCAACTCGCGCGGGCGTTAAGAACAAAAAAATTAACGTATCCGCCGAACGGTTTTGTCCGAGCCCGTTCTTTCGGGGCGAGTAGCCGGCACAATAACAACAACAACAATAATAATAATAATAATAAAAAATTATTACAACAAATACATGTATAATATCGCCGCGTTCGGTAATAACATTTTTATGGAAGGGCACGTTTTATGAACAGCCAGTCACCGCTGCTTGTACGATAATAATCTTATCATTGTATTCGATAGATGCCGCTGCAGACAAGGGCTGTAATACGAGAGGTAATTTGTATTCCTGTTGCACTCTGTATATTAACGATATCAGTGGCGTGCTTAGCTTTTTCCTGTGGTGGGGGGGGCATAAACTGTATTTTGTTTTGCTAATAGTCATATACAAGAATTTACAAAATATACTTATTGGTATATACATTGATATTTTAGGAGTAGGTAGTCAGGTACAAATTACAATGTTATTAATGTTATTATATATATACCTATTTTTTTATACTAATATTTCAAACCTCTTTGTTCATTTTTTTGGATTTCATTATATTAAATTATATTAAATACATTTTTGTGCAACATTTAAAATAGAATCAACAATCCTAAAATATGTGACCAACGCACTCGAATCAAATCGACCGAACAGAGCTTGTTAATCAATTTTTTTTTAAACTAGTACCATTAAGTGAAGTTACCCTAATAATAAAATAATAAAATAATTAAGCAAAGATTTTTTAGTCGTTAATTTAATATATCGTTATACTATTTTCCTTTTACTGTAGATAGAATCGACGTTTAATTTATTAGTTTCAATACAAAACTAATATGCAATTTTGCTACTTACGTATTTCTTTTATCTGTATCGTTTCTCTGCATTTTTCGTACATATATGTATATTATTAAGTCCTGGATAAAATGTGGCCCGATTATCGACCGTTTGACAATTATTGACAAAGTAAATACAATATGGTAACGCATTTGCCGGATAGGTATCTGTACCTAAAACTCCAATTTTTCCCTTTAAAAAGCATTTCTCATTTCAAATGCGTTGATATACTCGTAAATATAATACAGATATTGAATTCGATATCTGCGTCCGTTGTACATTAGTAGGTTTTATATAAATTTACCTAAGCACACCGATTCATTTATATTACATGTATATTATATTGTATAATATTATTATTTTATTTATTTATTCAACAATATTTAAACGTATTATAAATACTTTCAAACCTTTCAATAAATAAATATAAATAAAAACCAAATATAAATATAACAATTGCTAGTGTATAATAATTTTTGAATGAGTTTTACATAGATATAATAATACAAGTAATGAAGTAAATATAAAAACAAAAACATAACAAAACATAATAAACAAGGTAATAATAACATGAACAGTAATATGGAAATAGTAAAATGAATAATGAATATGAAAAGTAATACAAAATTGTAAACAAAATTTTAGTCACAATTTATTGGACATTTCTGAAGTTTTTTAGATGAACCGGATTTTAAAAATCCTAAAACACAAGTTGTATGTAAGATTAATGTGGTTTTCAAATATTTTAAATTAATTCTCACCTCGAATTTCACGTTTAATATTTTAAATAAGTGTTCGATTTGAAATCGTACTATGCAGTTCAAGCCCGGTTCATCGTACGTATTCGCCAGGCTCGTCAGGGGTTTTATCGTCCACGGATGTTGGGTGTTATACACCTTATTAATAAAATATAAAAATTATAATATAATCGGGAAAAAATTCAATTGATTAATGGGAGGGGAAGAGGAGGATGAAATATTCAACATACTTTGCTACCCACGCATGATTCCAGTTTATGGTTGATATAAAATAATATTAACTGATAATAAAAAAAGGTGAGTTAATAAATCCATCTTCAATAAATTATACATATACTCGTATATATAATTAATCAACATTGGTACTAGTTAGATATCTAATCATTGCTTGGTCAATAACCAAACATCCTAACCGTTCATTTCGTTTAGTTACAGTAACCTATAACCAAAATAGTAACCAAAATCGCACAAACGACTTGTTTATAAAATACAGTAATCACTAACCAGATATTTGGTATCTATTGGTGATATATTTGGTTATTCGCCAACAGGATTAAAGATATACTGGTTACATAACGAGGTGTGATAAAAAGCATGCGCATTTGTCCCAAATTCCCTAAGTTATGTTTGCTTCAAATATTTAGTCAATAGCTCTATCCATAGTATATGATCTAAGGTGTTCGCCGATATGGGTACTCGTGGACCGGCCAGTTAATCTCTTGATGTTTAAATGATTTCGCGTAAGCAACTTAAAATACATTTCGAATATTAATTTTTATAATAATATAAGTTTAGGAGTACCCCGGTGTAGGTGGCTCTGTGTACAAAAATTCTACCAGAAAGCTTATTGATTTTTTGTAAATTTAAAAATAATGACTACAGAAGTACAGATTACTATGACAATCGGTGATATTTCGTACAATTCCGTAATGATCAAAACAATAATAATATAACCGTTAAATAATTTAAAATCTAGTACTTTTTCGAGGTTAAGGTTTGTATTATTTTATTTAACACAGTGTCGGACAATTTCGGATTTTTGCTGCTATATTGTGTACCAGGGGTTCATGAACACGAGTGGATATTCTANACATAACAAAATATTCGTATAAATAATATTATGCCGTGATAAAATCCGTAATGATCAAAACAATAATAATATAACCGTTAAATAATTTAAAAGCTAGTACTTTTTCGAGGTTAAGGTTTGAATTATTTTATTTAACACAGTGTCGGACAATTTCGGATTTTTGGTGCAATATTGTACCAGGGGTTCATGAACACGAGTGAATATTCTACGGTAGTAACGGTAGTATGGCAGTCGGTCGATTGCCCGCTACTACGTAGAAACTCTCATCTCCTGATCTCCTGGTACCAATCGTGGAATTTTGTTACGGAGTTTTTCTCTGTCTTCATATTGCCCGAAACTCGATTTTTCTATTCCGTTGTACGTCGGCTACTTTTTATAGCCGCTACTTGCATTCAATGCGTATATTTAAACTACTTTTCACACTACTCTATTACTATGGCTAATAAATATCACAATCTGAATTATGATTTTAAATAGTATGTATGAGGAGCGATACGGCTTAATAATATAAGAGTATTCATAGAGAAGTACAAGTGATTCGATACGAAGTAGAACGTAATTAATTAAAATTAGTTAATCGTATAATGCAAGTTAGTAAACTATATTATTAAAGTGGATATTGTTTNTACTTTTCACACTACTCTATTACTATGGCTAATAAATATCACAATCTGAATTATGATTTTAAATAGTATGTATGAGGAGCGATACGGCTTAATAATATGAGAGTATTCATAGAGAAACGTAAACGTAAGCGTAAAAGTACAAGTGATTCGATACGAAGTAGAACGTAATTAATTAAAATTAGTTAATCGTATAATGCAAGTTAGTAAACTATATTAGTAAAGTGGATATTGTTTGGGTAATAATTCAATGGCATCGCCTTTTTTGACAGAAAATGGTATGAATAATAAAAAACCTGAAGAAAATTTGAGACGGTGAAATATTGATGGCGAAATGATAATAATTATAATTATTCATAAACAATTTAATATAATAATGTTATTATATTTTAAAAAAAATGTGGGATAATAATAACCACACATTTTTGGTGACTGGTAAATTANAGAGAAGTACAAGTGATTCGATACGAAGTAGAACGTAATTAATTAAAATTAGTTAATCGTATAATGCAAGTTAGTAAACTATATTATTAAAGTGGAT